CTTCGTTCGCTTGTGTAATTTTCTTCTCTGAAAAGTGGAGACCTCATACTATTAGTGTATTCATTGCCTGGAAAGCTTCCTTATGACCAAAGGTTTAGTTGCTGTCTAATTTCAGCATCCTTCACATCTCTGTTAAGATCTGTTGTGACAGCTAAGCAGTATCCTTTCTTCAATTTGAAAAAAAACTGTCAAACTTTGAAAAACGTATGTACAAGATGCACAAACACATACATACATGTGTTTGAGTTATGCTTGCTTTTAATATACCTTCACTAGGCAAGCAGTAAAAACCAAATAAATTACAATTGACACTTATTTTCAACCAAAAAGCAAACCAAAACTTTTAAAAAGTAGTTTCAACTTTTCATTTCTGTCACATGGAAGAATGCATGTGTGCACATGTGCATACCCCTTTGCTTCCAGTCCAGAAGGGTACTGAAGATAGAAAGCCTAAGAATTAGAGGACAGACTAGCAGTGACCTATGAGATCTATGAGCAGAAAACATATCAAGGCTCCCAAGCTGCGTATGAGACTGATGTACCTACGCACGCAACAAAGTTCTGGTCACAATACAGCAAACATCCTATTCTCAGGCTCTTGCATTCACAGCTCAGCCATCTAAAGCCTGTATTGTATGCTCGAGGGTCCAAAATAGAATAAAAACATTCTAGTGATCAGACATCATTGCCAAGATAATAGAGACACAATAGTAAAAGGGAATGTGGCAAATAGCAGCTGAAAATAAGTAAGATAGGTTGAATAAAGATTGACTGAATTGAAACACAGAATAATAAGCTAAAATTTATACTTTAGAATTTTAATTGGCCTTCATATTTCACTTCTTTGCTCCTTATTGCGACTCTCAGCATGCAGGCATAATGCACAACAAAACAAAAAGGGCTAGGTTAAACTTTCAAAAAACCTCTTTAACAGAAATTCAGCCGAGGCAGCACTCATGTATTCCACCCAGGTGAAACTACTATGGTGATCTACACCAGACACTAGATTTGGTTGAAAGGGTTTAAGAAAACAGATTTAAGAAAAAAAGAACCCCCTAGGCAAAACTTACATTAAAAATATATCTTCTTCACAATCATAAAAAATTAAAAGGCCAAGGAAGATTGCCTCTTGAGTGTACGAAGGACCACAAAGAGAATACTAATACTTCAGAAAAGCAGTAAGCAACCTTATAATATTACTCTTCAACATGGCAGGAGATGGAAGATTATTGTTCAAAGGATTCTGGCTTACTGATGGTAAAACAGTGGTTCTTCAAAGAAAGCATGGTGAGAAATAATAACAACTTGAAAAAATATTAATTTCAAATTAATCATTGATACATCTGTGATTGATCTGAAACTTATGAAGAAGCTACCATACTAAAGACAAAAGAGGCAGAATAATGCAACATTCATCATTAATTTACTACCAGAACGAAGTGTCACTGTAGCTGATCTCATTATATGGCTGGTACCACAGAAACATCAAAACCTGACCTTTACATTGGCATCAGTGGAATATTTCAAAATCATGCTTGAATAACATTTATTTTCTATAAAAAAGTGCTTTAGGAGAAGCAACACATTTTAATAAAAATAAGACATGCCATTCCTGTTCAATTTATTTTAAAATTAATATAATTAAGGAACGACTAAAGGATGTAATATATTCAGGCTTTAAGGAACCATTTGCTTTTACTCCAAAGGCTGATGGGTCAAGAAATGGAGACATTTATGAGAACCTGTGAAAACATAGGGATGAGCAACCACAATTCACAATATAAAATGGATTGTGGATTATTATTGGAATTATTGGAAAGAACATTTCATTGAACATTTAAATTAATTTTACTGAAGAACTGAATGCCACCAGGTATTACGGACAGTTTGCTGAGATTTACATATGGCTTAGAAATGTGTGTGATTCCAATACCAATGTCCACCTGGGATAAGATGGCAGGAGCTATCAGCACTGTGTGCTGCCCCAGGATTCCAGCTGTAGCTAGACCCCAAAAGAAACTTTCCAAACAGCAGCAGTAGTCAATCCTCGCCTGTCATAACACCAGAAAACTCAAGTGGCAAAAGAACATTTTGTATGGACTGGTGATTTGTCTGGTGACCTCCTTTTATGCTATGCAGAGACATTTATGAATAGGAGAACATTTTCCATCTGCAATGACCACTTTCAATTGCCTTGGGAGTATGACAAAAGCAAATTCCCTTCCAGCTCTGAAACATCCTTCTGTCGCTTACGTGACTTTGTAGTGCATTAATGTCCTTTCAGTGGCTGTACCAGTACTGAAAAAGCTGAGCCTTGACAATAGGAGATGGTCGCTGTGGCTATAGGTACTGTGCTGTGTTGGAAAAGAGACCTCTGCCATGGCAACCAAATGCCACAAAAGCTTTCAGGATTTTCTTCCACTATTATTCTTTTGTTTTTAGCCAGTCAAAGGGAGTAGGAATATCTCCAAGAAATAAAGAGAGGTAAATGGAATCGAGACAAACATCTGAAATACCTGCCTGTACCATAAATAAGCAGCACTCTCCTGTTTTGCACTGAAACGGCATTGCTGTTTGTAATTGCAGTTGAACTGTCATACTATCTGAAGAAA